TTATTCTAAATTAATTTATGTAAAAAAATATTATTTGAAAAAATTGTCAATTTTGTCCCTTTTCTTAGCATCTAGCCTATATTATAATCTTATAATAATTTATATATACCCACCTAAATTAAAGAAGATCTGTTTTTGCTAACAAAGTTAAAAATAATTAGTCTAAGAAAGACAATATATGAGTTTTCAATACTCTCTTTACTGAAGTTTAAGGCTATCTGCAAATTAAAACCTTTTCTACATTCTACTCTTAACCTTTATAAAATTTTTACAAAAAATGAAAAAAATAGTATATTCTTATCAAAAGATTGATAACAACAATTGCTGCTATAAAAGAAAAGACATATACCATATATTACTGATTAGAAGCAATCACTGAATAAAAGCAATTCTCAGACTTTGGAGCCAAAAATTTGACTAAAGTTGTTATGTTATACTAATAAAATTAGACTCAAATAGAAGCAACCTCTTCACTTTAGCTCAAAAAAATTCACATTTTTTTGCAACATTTTGGTTACTTCTATTTGATAACATATAGTAAATATATATATATTCACTTTGGGTTGATAGTATCAGATAATGTGATAATATTTAAAATATTATAAAAGCTTGCCAACCTACTTGGGATAGCAACCAGAAATTTTAACCTTGATGCTCTATATCAAAACCAGATAGATTTTGATATTTTTATATTTTGAATATAAATATAAATAATTAATGTAAAGTTTAGTCTAATTTATTTGTGATATTATAAAATTTTTATAATTCTTGCATAGGTTTAATAGTGCTATTTGTATTTTCTTTTCTTTTCTTTTCTTTTTTTCATTATTTGTTTTATTTGGTTTTATTCATTTAGATAGACCAAAATTTAATATCAAGGTATTTTCTCATTTTTGCTCTGCTTTTTGTATTTGTGTTTATACTTCATTTTATAAAAAGAAAAGTTAATTTTGATATGATGTGTAACACCAGCTTATGATTAAAGAATTCCTTTTAGTAAGTTAGAGGCTTAGAAAGAGGCTTAAAGTTTACTAAAGCAGTTATATCTGGTAAAAGTATAGGTAAGCTACTTTACAAATAGATTAGTATAGCTAATATTAGAAAATATAAATTTCTTAATATAGTTTAATCTCTAATAAAAAGTGGCAGAACTGCTAAATTATAAAAAAAAAATACTTTCTAATTAAAAAAATTTTTAAAGATCTATTTTATCAACTTTATTAAAAAAATTTTTAAAATTATTAATAATTTTTGATTAATTAATATTTAAAATTTGTATAATATTGGAGTTTATTATTAAAAATTTTTTAAGCTTTTTAAAATTTTATATATTTTCAAAGCTAAAAAAATTTTTGTTTTTAAGACAAATATTAATTTTTACAAGTAAATTATAAAATTTATAATAATTAAAATTATAATTTTTAATCAAGAGTAGAGGGTATTATTTGTAAATTATATATAAAATTGGTGGTATTTTGTTTTATTTTTTTAAATTAAACAAAATTTTATTAAAAAAATTGTTTTTATATTTCTAAATTTAATTGTAAAGTAGATTTTTCTAATTCTGATAATAATAAAATTATTAAATTAGAATTAAAACTTAGTGAGATATAATTATTTTAAAGTTTAAATAATGTTAATTGTTTATGAAAATTATATGACATCAGCTAATCAAAACTAGGCATTTTGTACTATTTAGAAAATTTTGAGATGTTCTAAAAAAACTTTACAATATATATAAGTATATTTTTTAAATTAATAAAAGTTTGACTATTTATAAATAGTGGTTTGTATCTACAACTATGAAATTTTGATAAAATTAATTATAGCTTTAAAAAATTTTATCAGTACCACATTTTTGTTATCTATATAAAGTTCTGATATACTATACAGATTATATGAAAATGATTAACATTATCATCTACTCTTAAACTATAAAGTTATATTAGAAACTATAAGTCTTAAATTAATATTTAAAAAGTTTGTTATTGATAAACTAAAAAATTTTTCATTAAAAATTATTTTTAAAATTGTATATTTTTGGTTCATAAATAATCTAAAATTTTTTTCTTAAAATCTAAAAATAAATATTATAAAAAAGTAATTTTTTTTTTAAATATAATTGTACAAAGTTTTATTTGATTATTTTGATTTTTTAAAAAGTAAATTAAAGCTAAAAAAGTATAAAAATATAGACAAATTTGTTTATATTCTATTACAATCTAAGGGATAGGCATGTACCCAAAATTTTTTATATAACAACTTTTTATATATATAAATTTTTTGAAAAAGAATATGCTCAGAAAGCATGTCTAAAAGACATATTTTGTGTTTTATACTTCTAATTTTATTCTTGTGATTTATCTAATCAATAATATAGTAATAATATTTGCTTACCTTTTGAAAAGACAATTAAAAAAATATCTTTATGGACTATTATATAAATCAAATCTAGCATCCCAACTAATAATATTTTACAATATCAAATTTAAATAAGTTTTAACTATTCTAGTAAATTTAAATTGTAAATAAATCAGAATATCTAGTTTAGATAGTTTTTGGTAATCTTAATAAAAATAAAGACAAATCATATTTTAAAAAATAAAATAAAATAAACACAAATTGAAGACTTAAAACCTAATAGCCTAAGTTTTTAAATTTTAAATTGCTTAGATTGTTAATAAGTTTTAAATATAATATATTAAGATATTGAAATTTTATGATAATTTTTAGTAAAATTAAATTGCTTTTTTGTTTTGCAATAAATTTTTGATATATTTAATATTTTTTTTTTAACTAGCCTCTTTGGTGTAGGGGTTTTTTATTCAAATATAATAGGTGGGGAGCTCACAACGGAACCCCAATTACATTAGAGAGTACAACTAGCTACACGTGTGCCTTTTAAGAGCCTATTTAAGTAGTCCGCATATAGATAACTGTACACCATAAGTTCTATACTAGCTGCCATACCTATAACCCAACTAGAGGATTACCTATTTAAACTCTCTGTAATGTATACTGCCTCTTTGTATCACCGGAACACTCCGTTATATTTATTAGTCAAGAGTTCCAGATACATATTATAGCCTTAGGACTAATTTATTCTCAAGACATCATTGCTAGAGCTTTCTATACCCAAATCTGGCTAACCTAGACTTTTGTTAACTTACGCCAAGTCTGAGAATGAGTACTTGTGAGCTGAAGCCATTATCATTACCTACTCTTGCCCTTGTAGAGTTCGCCCAAACCCTATCATCCACTTTACAGACTATCTACTATTTCACCAGTCCCTAAACTTCCAATCCAGATAGCCTGAAAGGGCAGACCCCTTCCTTGGTATACACTAATAGTCTGGTTGGTATAGTGTCTTGCCAAACACCTCGGTCCTGTCCAGTTTCTAGATCTTTGATAATAATCCTTTACATAGCACCATTGAAGATCTGTGCTACCTCTCTACTCGGGACTTGCTAAGCAGGATTCTATGTGCCCCAGCCTTTAGATTTACACAAATGCTTTACTTAAGTTTTGTATAACTCTTGTATCACACTATAGTTCCATGTTCTTCCAGTACAAGCTGATATAACCAAAGCTACAGATCTGATGATCTATCAGATTACACACAGTCTGCTGTAACACATTCTGTAAAATTCAAATTTTGTCGCCAGTAAGATTTGAACTCTTGTCTTGCCACTTGGAGGTGTGACAACTTACCAACTTCACTAAGTTGCTATACATTTATATATTTAATATTTAAATCAAAAAACTATTTTAAAATAATATAAAAAAAAAGAATTTTTAATTAATTGATAATTCACTACTTAGCAGAAGAATGACTTTAGTGTAATGTAATGTGAATTACTATATAAATTATATATACACAAAATCTGGTATTCATCCAAGAAAAAATTTTTTTACTAAATTAATTGCTCTTTTTGCTTAAGAAACAATTATTAAGCTTATCAAGATAATTTTAACAGTGATAAGATTATCAAAATTGGTTTAGTGGTTGCAGAGATATCACTAAAAAATGATTGGCTGACTATATAAAATTTTTATAAAATTTTTAGATAAGCAATAAAATATTTATTTAGAATTTTATATAATCAGCCAACACTAAATTAATTTTGATGATCTTACTACTGTTAAATTTATCATTATAAGCTTAACAATTGTCTCTTAAGCAAGAAGAGCAATAAACTTAGTAAGAAAAAAGTTTTTTTAAAAAAATTATCAGATTTCAGATATAAGTAATTTATATAGTAATCTGCATTATGTTATATTAAGATCATTCTTCTGTTGAGTAACAAATCATCAATTAAAATAATTTAAAAAAGATAAAATAAAAAATTTAATTTTTTTTAATTTAATAGGCAATTCTCCAGTCATCTGGTTCAAAATTTTTTTTTTATATATAAATTTTACTATAAGTGCGAAAGTGCAGCGCCCTATCTAAAACTTTTTTTTTATTAAGTAAATCACTCTTGGGTATATAACATAAGTTGTAGAGCTTATCAAAATGTATTTAATAGTAGAAGAATATTAAAATTGGCCTGGTGGTTCTTAAGAAATCTTTAAAAAACTTCTTTTTTATATATAAAATTCCTTTAAAAAAATCGATTTTTTTTAAAGAAATTTTATATCAGTCAACCGATTTGTCACATTTAAATTTTTTATATATAAAATTAGGGCAAATTTATTTACCGCATGGTGCGCTATATATTAAATACCACCTTAATATAGATCACGTGATACTATATAATATTCTATTGTATACTTAAATCATAATTATCGTTATTATAAATCTAACTCTATTTTTGGCACATATTTCGCTAATTATGCAATATACCGTTTGTAATACTAAGTTAATCAAAAAAGATAAACTAGGACGATTTCCAAAAATTAGAGCAATGTAACTTACCACAACAGTCGCCTACATACTATTTGTATTATATACATTGTTTAAGCATTTTCAAATTGGTTATATAGCATATAAGCTGCAATTATGGTAAATCACATTGTTCGATATCCGGACTTATTAATATAGACCATTTTATAGTAATGAGATTCAGAATGTATTTACTGATAATGTTTAGCATTAGGCAGCTTAAAATTAATTGAGTTAATAACAATTATAAACGCCTACATTTTAATGAAAAGAAAGAGAAAAAATTCTAACAATGACTTCGTTATATACAATATATTTGAATTAGTCTTGCCGAATGAGTTATGTAATTACATTGTGAAGTAGAAACCATTAATTAATTTTGAACAGTCTAAGCATTGTGCAAGCTTTTAATTAATTGAGCAACTTATAACAAACTAAAACCTCTCTAGGTCGAAAAAAATTCAAACATTGTATATAATTACCGTATGTATATACATATACATACGTACATAATATCCGATTACTTTGCATTTTCCTTATTGGGGCACCTAGGTGCATAATAACCTGATTTATGGCAAATTCCACATCTACGTCTAGTCTCACCATCACTTTCAACATTATCATAAGATGTTTGTTGTGTATTACTACTAGCCTTATTTGTTTCTTCATTTAAAGCTTTCAACCGTTTGTTTGGAGATCTACCTTTACCCTTGCATACTACCGGATCTTTAATATCCTTATAATTATAAACATGCCCATCAGACAACTTCATATAATCTGAAGCTTAACCTTCTTCAACAAGCAATGGTTGAGTTTAAATATTCCGAATTTCTTCTTTTTTAGCAATATAAGCTAATATAAACTCATCCAAACTGATTTGATCATTATCTTCTAATGAGTAGCTTAATGCCTTTTTAAAATGACCCATTAAACGACCATAATCCAACTTCTTTTGTATACAGTTTCTAACTTGAACTTCTTGAACATTATAGTAATGCCTGGGAATAAATTTTGGTACGTTATTGTCATCTTGATATTGCTGAGACGAAGTACCAACAAATGGCTCGCAATATATTGAATCAACACATTTCCAAAAATCATCATGTAGCCATCTTGTTGGCATCAACATCACATGAAATAATGCATTTGAGTTCTCCACCATTAATTTAAAATAATGATGGCAAATAACACCATGTGACACTAACAATAGACATGTACACAAATGTGTGTCATCATTTAACATAACAATATGTTAGTACGCATTTGTTGCCATATATGGAATAATTTTTTAAACTTCTTTGATTGATTCTTTTGAGACCGATTTTAAAAGTTCTTTTAAACACGCTTGCTGAAAATCATAATAATCCTCAACAGTTTCTATCGTTTTCTCATGATTACTTTGATCCTAATATAAAAATACTTACATAGTAATTAATTCTGTAATCGTAATTTAAACTACAACAAAAAAAAAAAAAAAAAAAAAAAAAAAAAAAAAAAAAAAAAAAAAAAAAAAAAACTTGCTGTTTGATTATTAATTGGTTCATATTCATCAGAATCTAATTGATCTTCAAACTCTAAAACAGAATCTAATTGATCTTCAAACTCTAAAACATGATTGGTATTTAACTTTTCGCACTTATAAAGTACTGACTCATACATTTGTTTGCTAATTTCTTTAATGATTCGTGGTGTGAAATATTTTCAAATTACATTATTAACATTACTAAAAAGCTTCTCTATAATGAATGATTGATAGTGATTTATTGATTTATGCTTCCATTCCATGTAACTTTTATTTAATTCTTCCTTCTGCATTCAAAGTTCTAAAGCTTCAACTACGTCTAATATACTGGAGCTAGAAGAAACCGCTTTATGAATAATTGAATTAATCGATTTAACATGTGAAGTAGACTGCATGCCAGCCGTAAAGATTCTATTTATAAATGACTTTGCCCATGATTGTCTAGTTGAATAAATAGTATCACTCAAATATTTGTTGCCATTTGGATACCTTTCTAGTAATGATTGGAACCGACGTTCAAAAACTTCAATACTTAAAGAATTTCGTGCTTTCTAAAAATCACAAATGAATTCTTTAAAATTTGTGTTCCCAAGCTTAGCCTTAAGCCGTTTAGGTAGATTTTGAGAAATATGCCAGATACAGTGAACATGATAAGAATTTTTATATATTACTTGACATGCTGCATCCATTGCAGGGTCCATATCAATCATTATAACCCATGGTTCTAAGCTAGTTGCATCCAA